AAGAAATGAACACGTCGTCCATTTCGTCCACTATGTCGTTGATGAACTACAGGAATAGTGTGGGTCCGAGATGACTACCCTGTGGTACGCCAGATGATACGTTGAATTCGTTCGACTCGCTGCTCCCATACTTAAAGAATTGCGTTCTGTTGGACAGGTATGATTCAATTATTATTATTATTATTATTCTGCACCATACAGCGTTTCTTCGCCAAAGGTGGTTTATTTGTTATAAATATCATATCAATATATTTACAATATTTCTTTTATTTTCTCCACACTCTACTTCTTTTAAAAAATTCAGTTACCCTCTGTTTAACAGTATCAGTACTAACATTGAAATCAATTAGATAAGTATCACAAATTGGAATAACATTAGTATCACATCCATCAGTTGCATATGGCGGTTTAATAGGAACAAATTTCTTATAAAAATCGTTATATGTAATAAGCATGTTATTTATGGGCTCAAATTTGGAATAATTATGGTGTCTTATTGGTAGTGATAAGAAATCTATATCTCTTGTCCGATGCCGTGGTGTTCTGATTCTTATTTGGCTGGTTATGTATTTCGACGATGTATGTCCACATAGTACATTATGCACCATCGATATTTGAGCAATCTTTCTTCGTTCATCAAGGGTAATCATTTGTAAATGCAGCAATCGAAATTCATATGATGGTAATTTGAATCCGTTTGACCATCTCATTCTGCGCAGTGCAAATAGTAAAAATTGCTTTTGTATGGATTCAAGTCTAGCAATCTTGTCGGCAGTGTATGGGTTCCAAATCTGGGAGCCATATTCTATAATTGGCAGTACAAAGGTGAAGAAGAGTTTCTTAATAGTCCATGGATCCTCAAACTCTCTTCCAAAATGCTTTATCCAAGCCAATCTTGATTTTGCTTTGGCAGTAATGAACTCAATATGTGCATTGAAGTTCATTTTCTCATCCAGTATAATGCCGAGGTCCTTAATTACTTTGACACGGTTAATCTTCTCATTGTCTATCGTATATTCAAATTCATACTGCAACTGTCCACGGTGATATGATATGCAATTTGATTTCTTGATGTTCAATTTTAGTCGATTGTCCCGGAAATATTTTACAATTTTGTTGAGATCGTTTTGCAGTTCTTGGCAGTCTTCAAAATTTTCAATGTGTTTCCATAGTCTAGTGTCATCGGCAAACGACTGTAATATTGATTTGAGTGTGTGATGTGGCAAGTCAATAATAAATAAAATGAACAGTGTTGCGCCAATTGGGTAGCCCTGACCAGTTCCCGAAGTAACGTTGATGGAATTTGACATGACATCATTTAGTTTGACAATCTGCTGCCGTCCATTCAGGTATGATTCAATCCATTTAAGCAATTGTTCGTTCAAGCCCATGATGTTCAGCTTCTGGATAAGCAGCGTAACATTGACAGAATCAAACGCTTTTGCTAAGTCAAGATAAATTGCATCCGTTTGAATGTGTTTGTCCATCTTCGTTATTACACACGATGTAAATTCGGCCAAATTTGTTATTGTAGACTTTCCTTTCACAAATCCATGCTGGCTATCATCAAGTATACTTTTAATGTGGAAGTTAAGATGACTTGAAACGATGGAATCCAAAATCTTCGAAATTACACACTGCAAAGCAACACCACGATAGTTATCAATTTTTGCTTTGATTCCACTTTTGTGTATTGGCCATACGTAAGATCGCTTCCAAATGTCTGGTACAAAGCCGGTCTTTAATGATTCACTCAATATGTGAGTAATCGGCTTTACCAACGTGTGAATACATTTTTTGATGAAAATGTTCGGTATTCCGTCTGGCCCAGATACTGTGTTATTTGGAAGGTTGTTTACTGTCTCCAAAATTATGTCGTCAGTGATTTCAATCGTTGGAATATTGATGCATAAATCACGGAGAAGCGATTCACAGTCCTTGTAACTGTCAGTTTGAACATCATTTTGTTTGGTGTACGCTTTTTCAAAATGTTTGGCAAATGTATCGGCAATATCTTGTTGACAGTTCAACTTAACGCCATTATATTCCATTTCACCGGGTAAATCATCATGAGTTTTTCGGACGCAATTGACATATTCGAAAAATTTCGTTGGATCTTTATCAATTAGCTGCTCCATTTCCAACTTGTAATTCTTGAAGGCTAATCGAGCGCATGACTTATATTGTCTTCTCAAATCAGCATGCTTCACAATTGCTTCAGTTGAAGAACATGACTTTTTCCGTCTTTGCAGTGTGTTGACACGATTCTTTATGTTTATGAGTTCGCTGGTGAACCATTTTGGATGGTTTGAAATCGTTTTCGTTTTCAGCTCGACATTCTCTGAAACAACGGAATTGATGATATTATAGAACTGGTTAATATCTGTATCCAAGTTTGTTCCAGTGAGAACATCATCCCAATTTACAGTGAATAGTTTCTCATTAATGGTATCATAATCAGCGCCCATGAAATTGCGGTACTCAATTTGAGATGTGACTTTGTTTTGCTTCATTTCCAAGCCGTGGATTTTTATCGAATAAGAAATGTGATGTGATTCATGATTCAATAAATGATGTTCGGCAGGCTGACATGAAACGATGTCTACACAGTTTGTCCAAATTAAGTCGAGCATATTTCCATTATTATTGCTGTGCTTGTTGATTTGATGCAATCCCAATTCATGACATGTATCGAGAATGATCAATTCTTTCTTTCCTGATGCATTAATTGGAATCGCAATTTCTGGATCATCGTTGTCATCAGTGAACCAGGATAAATTAGGTAAATTGAAGTCACCTGAAAGGATGAGAACATCTTCAGTTTGCATTTTTGCAGTGATTTCCCGTAGTGCTCCCATATTTGCTTCGTAGACTTCAACTGGAGAATCCGGTCTGAGGTAGGCCTCGACTAAGAAAATATTTCTGTTGTTCAATATTATCTTGGCCCATATTTGTTCAGCGCCGAATGATGCTCCTGTGCCGACGAGTTGAGATTTGATTGATTTTTCGATGGCAATCAGAACACCGCCGCCTCGTTTCTTTTTAATCTTTTGCCACAATTCAGTTTCCTCGGAACGATCACAACGGTAAACGTTGAAATTTGGGGGAAATACCTCCGAAGAATTGACCGAATCGTCGAGTTTATCCTCACATATCATGTAAATTTTTGCGTTATTTGTTAGTACATCAGCATTGAATTGAGGCAATCTGCTTTTCAGGCCATTACAATTTTGCGAATGCACTAAGCAATATGGAATTCCTTGATTTCGAGTCTGTTGATGCATGTTCGATATGTTTAAAAGGGCTGGTACATTGGATGTGTGTGTAATGGTTGGATCATTTGTATTGGCATTGTGTTGTGAGTGTACATTTGAGGTGGCATAATGTGATACGGTGTTCCATTCCAAAAAGAATAATTGCTGTTTGGCAAAAACTGCGGATTAATCGGTAATTGCTGCAACGGCTGTTGTTGATGGTGTCTGAAATTATTGACCGGTATCTGCCTCTCTCGGTATTGTGGACGATATTCATGACGACGACGCCCATTCCCATTGACAAGTCTCCTTCGATCGATGTGATTGTTTTGATGTGTCTCATAGATATTTCTGTTGTTATAGTTGTTGTTGTTGCGATGATTCCGATTAGAATTTACTTGTCGCTGTACATTTTGTTGTGGCTTCGGATTTTGTCTCTTCTTTTTCATGGCATCGGTTTCAACTGGTAAGACTGGTTTTTGCATTTTCGATGGATGATTGAATTGTTTTAAAATGCAGTTTGAATTCCATCCGTCCATTGTGATAATTTTTTCACAAATCGTACGAAACAAGGTTGAAATTTTAAATGATGAAAAACTTCTTGCATTTCCTTTGTATCGTTTGTTGGGTAATTTTTCAACAAGAAAAGAATCATTATTGGCATCCAAATTACCTATGATAAGAGCAGCAACATCATCGGTTGTGGTTTCTTTTGGCATTCGTGATACGTGAATGGCATATACACCGTTCACAGGTGATATTTGTGGTGTTTCAATATTCTTTTGTTGGTTTTTGCTCGTTTCGGCCGATTGGTGTGAAATTCTGTTCTCATTCTCTGTTGGTAGTTGCTGTGAGAATTTTAATTTGCAGAACTCACATGTCAATCCAAACGGTGAATCGACGTTGAATGTTGAATAGAATTCGGATAGTTTGTTCGTGTCATTCTGAATATTCCAGCTGATTGTACCATTTTCCTCTGTGATTTTTTCCATCAATCCGAATTTAATCAACATTCCCTTTGTTCGTTGTGCATCTCGATTGCGCAGGCATTCAACATATATTTTTTTGTGGCAAAATATGCAATTCAATGACCATCCGTTATACCTTGATCCCATACAATTCTTGGATTCACAGCAATGAGGTTCATTTGACATTTTGCGGTCAAGTTTTTCAAGCGGCAAAAATAAAATCAGTTTTTCAAAATTATTCCTGGGTGTTTCTGCTGAACTTCAGTTTCTTTGATGAATTATTTATTCAAACATTCATGTCGTTGCAAACTAAAATTGAAAATGTTTCCAAAAACCGGAAAAAACTCAAAATTTATTAATTTTTGCAGAGCAATGAAAAAAAACAATGTTTACACTTTGACAGCTGTCAATGAATCCCTTAAGAGTACTTAAGAGTACTTAAGAGTACTTAAGAGTACTTAAGAGTACTTAAGAGTACTTAAGAGTACTTAAGAGTACTTAAGAGTACTTAAGAGTACTTAAGAGTACTTAAGAGTACTTAAACCGTTTTTTTCTCACTTTTTTTCCGTATTTATGACTAAAATTCGAAATTTATTCAATATTTTTGGACACGGTCTTCGGCAAAAAAGTAGCCAGTGTAAAAAAAGACAACCTTTCTGAACATATAAATCCAAAATAAGCATGTTCTGACCACTTATTTGGCTCGAAATTTCACTTTCAAAAATCCTAACTCAAAACACATTGGATGTGATTTTGTTGGGTTAAGTGTTCAGAAGAGTTGTTTGTTTTTACAACGGCCACAATTTTGCCGAAGACAGTATCCAAAAAAATGAATAACCTGCGAATTATGGTTGAAAAAGTGCAAAAATCGATTATTTTTACAATATTTTGTACTGGAGCAAACACCAGATGGCATTTTTTGGGTAAACGGATAGTCCCAATCGATAAATATTGTCAAAGTAGTCTAACAAATACCCCCCATATGGGGGGGTAAAACCCACTCCCAAGCCCGAAAATCGCATTTGAAAATATACCGTGAACCGTTGAATCATTGAAATCCATTTTTTGAGCTTGGGGATGGGTTTGACCCCCCCAAATGGGGGGTATTTGTTAGACTACTTTTGCAATATTTATCGATTAGACCCACCAATG